ATGTTGCTCCCGTCACCATCATCATTGCCACCGCATTGTTGCCACTGCCACCTCTGTCATTACCACTACTCTTATTACTATGTTCATTTTTGTCATTATATACAATTAGATCACTTTTGTATTTTAAATTTACAAAATTCGTTTACATTGTTTTTCACACTCACATTACTTATGAAAAATAGTTTATCAAACGCGTAACTGTTTTATTTATGATTAATTATTCTTAAAACACAACAAAAAACAATTAAAAAAATCACAGGTAGGGAAATTAGAAATCCATTGATAAAAGTAATTTTGATACTCATTTACCATAAGTTAACATGTAAGTAGACTTGAGATAGGAGAAAAAAGACAAAAAAATATGTAATGTATGTGATACAGTTGGTGTTCCATCTTCGCTAGTATGTATGCCTTGTCAGGCTAGTTTTCATATTTTGTATACTCTCCTTCGATCAAGTATCTCTCACCAACATGAGGAGCGAAGGAAGCCATAACACGCAGAACGACTCCTCCCTCATGCCTAGCGTGAAACAATAAATGAGGAAAAGAAGGAAAGATGCTCTTCAAGCTAAGGTTAAAGAGCTGGAGACTGAGAACAACAAGATAACAATTAGGAATAAGATCTTCCAAGAACATTATAAGAAGCTCTTTGAGATGATTTACGAGTCTAGACAATCGCCCTCATGATTGTTGATCATCATGTGGGTACCCCCCAAACGGAAGGTCACTTGTTTTCAACATGGATGTTGAACGACATTTTCATTAGAATGTTGATCAACACGAGACTTCTCTCAACCCAGCTATTTTGACTCAAAGCAGGAAAAATGGAAGGAGATACATTCTCGCAGAAGGAGTGGAATGATGAAAAGTTGTTTTATCGCTATTGTTGAGACTTCTTGAGGCAGTATCAAGAAAAACCCATCCACACGGGCTCAAAGATCAATGACCCAAGAGTTTCCAAAGGACTCTGGCCCTTACCACGACCCAGACTAGCTACTAATCCAAAAAGGAGCAATAAGGCTTGGAGGGACTAGAGGGTGTAGGAGACAAGGGGGGCTTCCAACAGGCACGTTCCATAAGTCAATATGGTGAATCCAAGGAAAAGCCACATGCCCTTGACTAAACTGTTGGATATATGTCAACAATCCGCAATGAAATAAATATGCTAATAATATATACGAATAAATATATTTCAGAGACTCAACAAGATGAAATATTAATTAAGCAGAGTAACAAAAGATCGAGGCTTGCGTACCGCAATGTTCTTGAAACAGAAATTTCGCCCCTACTCAGTGCTTGTAGTTCTACGAACGTCTGCTTCACCAGGATTCAACGATCTAAGTCAGAAATTCCAGCACCAGAAAATTGACTTCTGACGAATATTAATGTGGTTCTCTCAGAAATGATGTTTATGATTGCAGGAGAAGATTTATGATTTTTTTTTGTGTTCTAAATGTCATGCATATGGATGTATATATACTGTGATTATACATGTTCGCAACAGGTATAAGGAATGGATGCATCTGTTGGGAGACATCTGCTGAAAAATGTGTTTTTGTTTATGCGTTCTGTAAAAATAAATAATTAATTTAATTATTAGAGCCCAAGAGGCCCAAGGCCCATCTTTTGACAATTAAATATATATTAATTATATATTAATTACCAATTAATTAGTACACCCCAAAACCTAACCCCAAGGGTGAGCCCAATTTTAGTCTCCATGCCTATTACTCCAATCATTTTCTATAAATGATAAAGCCTTATAAAGTGATAAAATTTTTTGGGAATAGCCAATGTGGGACAAATAAATTTTTACTCAAACTACTCAAATTTCCAACAATTAAACTTCCTTGCGTCCAAGAGATGATGGAAACTTACTAAGGCTCAAATTATACATGACTCCACCACTCAAGACCCCTTTATTCAGCAACTCCCCGAAGAAGTAAACAAACTTAAAGTTAAACGTCAGGGCGAGATACCTGATTAGAATCAGCCAAGAAAACATGTATGGATAGCAAATTAAGATATAAACTTAGTATACCGACATATGATGGCATCCCAAACAATAACAAGTCAATATCATTTTATATACCATTATATTATTAGAGGGGAACATTAATAACAGATTGGTCTAAATTCTTCTTCGCTATCAGCCACGAGCCAATGAGCTATGCCATGTGGGCCAACACCATCACGTCCTTGAAATATTTTTCAGTATAATTGTAACAGGAGATGATACATTACATTTTATTATATCAATAAAAGAATGTACATACTAAAAAATTAATTAAAAAAATATAATTTCTCATTATTTATACACGGAGAGTCTTGCCTGCCATTAGGTCCTTAAATTTTGCCACCACAATAATCAAGTGGATGAAATTAGCTCCTCGTGCCTGATGAAACCATCCTATGAACAGAATCCTCGCCAGCTGCCTTGACGCCACGCGTCTCTCCACGTGTCGCCTCGGTTAGGTGTTACCTTATGCGTGTCGACGTTTCTGGCCCGTCCGCATGTGGAACGAGTAAACGACACGTACCCTACTGTCGGGGACTGGCCTTTTTATTTCTTTCAACAAAATGGAAAAAGTACAATATACAGACGTGAAATCAACATCGGCACTGCAAAAACCCGGTTTGAACAGCTCACAAAGCAGAGTGATTTTTCAGTATGATCAGTACACGGAATAGTACATCATGTATTATTATGTAAATGGTGGGATATGTGTGATAAAAATTTAATAACTTAAAAAATAAAATTTCTCACAATTCCTATTAAAACACATGATGTACCACTTGCGTTTCCATTACAACTAAAAATTTCGCCACAAAAGGCTGACCTAAATAAATAAGTAAATGCATACATAAATACAGAAAGCGTGCTACCTCTTATATCATTCTAATTTTCTACTTGTTGGGATAAAGCTTTTTTTCTGCAAGGGGTCTTATGCGGTAAACCCCTGCAAGCGGTTGTCTGTCAATATGTGCTTTAATTGAGTGAAATTAAATTATTACAATACATAATTACAGGTGCACAGAAAAATCGCGGTGAGCGAGTCTCATTTTTTTAAAATTTGTGGGCTGATTTTTTATATTTTATTTGTGTATGTCTATTTTCTGCTGTGTTCACTATTTTATCTTATTTTTTCTAAAATGTCTTTAACTTAGATTTTAGTCCAGAGTCAGTTTTACTGCTACGTAAATTTAGTGCTTCTTTAGTCTTTAATGCTCTTGCGATAAAGGGCGTTTCAGCTTTCTGGTGGCAGTTGATCAGTGTGTTCCAAGAAAGAAAATGCCAATGCAGATCTCCTTGTTGCAAGCCAAGTGAGACATATGTACATCTATCCTCTCAAAACCTTGCACATTTCTTTTTCTTTCTAAAACAATGTTTTATGTTGGGTTTTAGTATATGTATAATGTTGCTGTATATATTAGATAACAAAAGTTTTATGGGATCCCCTTAAATTTTGGAGTCCTGTACGACCAAACACTTCGCTCCCCCCCTAAAACTGACTTCCATGCATGTATGGAACCTTCATTGACATCGTGGCGTATAGCTACTAATAAAAATATTGATGTCGAGATAGTTGTGTACTTTTATAGTCATGTATTAATGGCCTGAGAATCACCTTGATACTAAACCAGATAGAGCGGGAATCTTCTTGAAAATGAGAAGATCTAGGATAGGCAGCCGACCTCCTGAGAAGCGTCACTATATAGTAAACTTGTTTCGCTTCTCTTTATAGGCAAAAGGAGTGTGAAAACTCATTTTCTTTTCATCCACCTTATTATTTTCACACAACAAGTTGGTATGACGTTTGATATTTGAACTGAAATGATCTTCTAGGGTTTTGGAGATATGATGGTTACTTGGAGAATTCCACTGGATTTCTAGACATGTATAGAAAGCCAAATCCAAATCAAAACATTTGTAATTCTTTCTATGGGACCTTTCGTGGAGTGTCCAACTCTTTGAAATTTTGAATGATCCAAAAGCAAATTATTTGTTCTTTCACCACTACAGTGGATTTATTTTTGGTACTACCCATTAAGTTTCTATATTTTGAACGATTGAGTCACGTCAACATTTTATGTTTATATTTTTCTAGAAAGAGAAAGACAAAGAGTAAAGACACTACTCATTAAGTTTTTATATTTGAACGATTATGATTAAGCCATGTCAACATCTTGTATTTACTTCTTTAAGTCACATCACCAATTGTCTATATATATCATAGAAATGATGTCATCAACCTAGACACCCGAAATAACAAGCTTGCAGTTAAAGTTATTTTCTTTTACCATCCATTAAGTTTAATTAATGACTGATTAATTATGGTAACACAATATGTACATCATCAATGTTCAAACCTGCACCTATATTTGACCAAAAAGAAAAAAAATGCACCTATTTATGCTTAAAAAGCAACGTCATTCTTGGTCGGGATTAAATTGGAAGATTCTGGAGGCAAATTGATTTCCAATCGATTTAAGAATATTTATTCTTGCATATTGCGTATTGGATTCGATTTATCCGTCTCTTACGATCGCTTGTACTACAAAAAAGTGAAAAGATTGAAACCAAACTGTCTAAATTAACTACAGATTAGTAGATTACCTATTTAATTATGATTCCTTTTGGACTTTGGAGTGACATCCGAATCAAATCTAACCGCCTTCCCCTTTTCCTTTCCAAAAAAAAAATAAAACAATAAAAAATAAAAAATAAAATTAGAAACTTTATTTTTTGTGATGCCACCTAAATGGGCCCGGTGAGGCCCACTCCATTGAATGAGAAAAGGGAAAAAGAATAGATCAGCGAAATTCAACAGCAGCCCTAATTACTAATTTACTGCTAATTACATTTCCAGTCACGACTAGGAATTATAATTAGAGGAAGCAACCGCAACAATGAGGCTCCTTCCTTGCTTTGCGTGTGGGCCTCTCGCTGACGTCACCGCCACTCCTCCCCACCTATAAATATTCTACAAATTCACTCTCTGAGGTTTGAACCCTCAAGCACCTCTCCTCCTCCAAAGCCCCTTCTCTCTCCTCTCCCTCTCGCAGCTCTCTCTTTCTCTCTCTAACCACCAAAACAGTCTGAAAGCCATGGGCCTCAACAAAGCACCTGAACCGTTAAAACTCCTCTGCAGCTATGGCGGAAAAATCCTCCCTCGCCATTCCGACGGCACGCTCCGGTACGTCGGCGGCCACAATCGCGTCCTCTCCGTCGATTCATCCATTACGTATACAGGTGCGTTCGATCGTCTCCGGTTCGATCTTTTTCTTTCGATTCTTGCTTAATTTCTTGAAAATTTGGACCCGATTCCAGTTGCTTCGTTTCAATTTCGATGCTGATTTCGATTTTTTTTTTGTGTGTTCAGAGCTAATGGTGAAGCTTGCGGAGTTGTGTGGCTATTCTGTTGAATTGCGGTGTCCGTTGCCGAATGGAGACTTGGAGACCTTGATTTCCGTCAAGTCCGACGAGGATTTGGCGAATATCATAGAAGAGTACGGTCGAGCTTCTTCTCCCCCTCATTCTCTGAAGATCAGAGCCATTCTCTCGCCGCCGAAGTCCCTGAAGCAAATCTCGCCTCCGATGTCTACTGCTACGAGCGGCGGCGACTCGTCCCCTTCGAAATCGCTCTTCTCATCCGCTGATTCGCCTCGAGTTTCGCCCCCGCAACGGTTCGTTTCGCCTCAAGTCTCGCCACCGAGGCGCTACGTTTCGCCGCAAGTCTCGCCACCGAAACGGTACGCTTCGCCGCCTGCTAGATACCCCGCCGGGCATCAGCGAGGGTCCGGACGAGTCTGCTACTATCCTTGCCATCTCCAGCCTCAGAGTCAGAGGAGTGGCCCCTGCGACATGTCGTATGTTCATCATTACCAGCAGTATCGTCACTACCACCATCATCCTCACTACCACCATCATCCTCACGTTCCCCAATGCGACATGTCGTATGGAAGGAGCTTCACACAGAGGACATAGATGACGTAATTAATCAAAAATATATTTTAAAAAACATATACAGAGGGTGAAATTTTGTGATTGCGTTTTGGAATGAAGGATTTTTTTTTTCTTCATTTAATTTTTTATATTTTTTTATACATATTTTTCGAAGTCGTATATAATGGCAAAGAAAAATATAGTAGTGCTTGAAATTTGTGGCGCCGTCAATCACGGTACCACTTTTATCGTTTGGATACCGTTTGTCGCCGTTAATTCAGCGCTGTACACTGCCAGCAGTATGTCCCTCCCTACGTGCCACGTAGTGCGTTATTGTTTTCTACCGGACAAAATAGTCCAATTAAAGTCGGTTCGCCGTTGACACGTAACGTTTCTGTTACTCTATTTCGTTGTTCATGTTAATATTTGTATTTTTGTGTGCTAATTATTTTTTCTTTTCCTTTTATGTTTGCAGGTGGTGCTTGCGTTTCGCATGTGAACCAGATGTCGTTTTGGCTGCGGGCCCGTGAGGAATATTCCCAAACGCATATGCCTTGAAATTATAAGGACGGCCAGCCTGGTCTTTAGATTTAGTGATGATTAATTAGGACCCATAATATGAGAAATTTTGCAGTGTGCTGGAAACACGGTTTGGTACGTTAAATGTTATAATATAATTGGTTGGAACTTCTTTTTAAGTTTTTAACCAATTGTTTTATTACACTTGTTGTACCGAGTCGTATTACTGGTACACTAAAACATGATTTAAAATGGAATTAATAATTAATGATAATTAAGACTCCTAATACGGCCCTTAACATGGGATTAATAATTAAGAGATGAACCTTCCAGGTTGATGCCGACTAATAGTATAAAAATTAGAAAGAACATGCGAGAAGCCAAAAGCGAATATACTTTTTCAAACTTGGGTGGAGGGCTGGCCAGTTGGGTCCTCCTGAGGAGGAGGAATGAGTTTTAAAAGGGATAAGGACTAAGTAGTGGATGCTTCGTGGTCTAGTCTCGAGTCTGAACTTATAATTTTGTGAGCTTGAAGTAACCTTTGGGTGGCTTCTAGAGACACACCACTCCACTTTTAAAATACTAAAACAAGAAGAGGTCATTTGACCAAAGAATGGACAAGCTTTCAGAGCTGGCTCTACATTGTTTTACAGAGAGTTTAAAATTTCTTCGATGGGTCGATATTTCTAATATCCATAAAATCAGAGAAACATATGGAAATGGGAGGGTGAAGTTAAAATTTCGCTTACATAAAAGAAACTTAAATTTAGGTTAAAATCGACATATATCGGTTATGTTTCTGACACATTTGTTAAATATAGGAGAAACGCTTATATTTCGTCCAAACTAATGTTTGACAATCCTTAAAGTTTTATTTTAAATTTTCATAATTTCCATCAAAAGCAACCGATATCGATATCAATATTCGATATATCTGTGGATATTTTCATAAATTTACATATCGATATTTCCACCCAATTTGTTAAACACTGGTTTTACAACAATCTAAACTGTTTATTTTTTAAGTATCTATTCATATATAATTCTTGCAAAGAAAAATTCAATCTAAGCAATTTACCTATTTGATCCAAAACCAAAAGAGACCATTTGGTGGCTTTGTCCACGACAATCCATCCTTATGGAATCGGGAAGACTCACATTTTAGCCTCATCATAGGCACCATAGCGTGATTTACCAGAGCCATTAATTAAACTCAGGACATATCGTGTAAAACATAAATCTGGAATTCGTTCCCAACTATTAGATCATCCCGTGGTGATTTGTCTCAATCACATTTGGTTTGGGATAAAATTTTGCACAGGTAATATGTGGATTGAAACTTGGTTTTGATTGTTTAGATAAAGTATAGAGTTGGCCAACAAATAGTTATCATCTACCTGATCAACTTTGTCAAAACAAACACTAAACCAAGAGTTGATATCATGAGAGTTGAATATCAGAGTGCGCAACGAACAAGACTAACAAAATAGAAAGAATATTATTAAAATAACAAGAATGCCGAAACGGCTACAAAACCCTAAGAGATTACATTGTGAATGACTTATTTCTCAAACTAAATTACAAGCAGTATTTATAGATAACTAAACCTAAGAAACCCTAACTCGGATAGGCTATGCCCCAATCCTAAAATGACAAGCAAAACCCAAATACTAAAATAAACCTAAATACTAATATTTTCCAACACCCCCCCCCCCGTCAAACTCATGGCGGTACACGACATGGGTTTGCCAAAGTAGATGTGGATGCAAAACTCCAAATTCCAGTGCCAATGCCAATGTCGATGTCGATACCGCTGCCAATACTGATGACGATGCCAACTTCCGAACAAACAAACAAAAAATCCAACCAATTTTTTTTTGGGAACTTTAACGAAAAGCACCCGGTACTGTTCACTTTAACGAAAAACCACATTTTTACACTAAAAAGTCAATCCTGGTACTATTCACTTTACCCTTTATTTTGTCCTTATCATTAAAACTCAAAGTTTTCAAGCCCTTTTCATTAGTTTTCCTTTTTTTTTTCCCTTTGCCCGCATGGGCCTCAAACAAGCAACCAATTTTTTCTTGTTTCTTCCTTTTTTTTTTTTTACTCCCCTTTTTTTCCTTTGCAGCAATACAAACTTGTGGATACTCCTGCAGGCTGCGGCGTTCAAAGGTGCAAAAGCAGAGTCACGGGACAAAAAACGAACAAACAATTTTTTTTTCTTGCAAACAATAAATACCAACTAACAATCTGAACACGAACGACAACGGAAACAAGCAAACAGATACGAACTCGAAGCAAATTAAATCCCAAATGATCAAACCTGCTCTGATACCAAGTTGAATATTAGAGTGCGCAACGAACAAGACTAACAAAATAGAAAGAATATTATTAAAATAACAAGAATGCCGAAACGGCTACAAAATCCTAAGAGACTACATTGTGAATGACTTATTTCTCCAACTAAATTACAAGCAGTATTTATAGATAACTAAACCTAAGAAACCCTAACTCGGATAGGCTATGCCCCAATCCTAAACTAACAAGCAAAACCCAAATACTAAAATAAAACCTAAATACTAATATTTTCCAACAATGAGCAGTCAATGATCATATGTTTGCTCCGTTATTATAAGAAATAATTGGTATGTACTGATCATTAAAGAGATTCAAACCTAATACCCGTCACTTACATATAAAAAAGTACCGGACCATAATACTAAATAACTGCATCAAATTTTATCACCAACATCCTCCAACCCCTCCCCGCAAGGGCGACAAAAATCAAATTTCCAGGAACTGCCCATCTACCTAATCCATTGAAACTCCATTAACACATATTAACAATAGCTTTAGTACATCTCTAAACTTAGAAAGCAACTTACATGAAATGAGTTCACCGCCTCGTGGCGTCCTAATTAATAATACATTGTCATGTGGAGAAAAACTTGAACTTGTCAATTTATATTAGATACGGAAAGCCTAGTAGCAGTAAACCCGCTCCATGTAAGTCCTCCTAAAGTTAAAAGATCTGATCGGCTCATAGGTGGTGGAAGACACTACCTTGAATTATCTATTTTCCTCTTTCTTTTTTCACAAGCAAGAGTACGGATATGTTTTAGTATCAATTAAGGACCATAAAAAAGGACAGAGAAACACAAAGGCACAAGCTTTATCTTTATCCATGGAGAGAAGTGGCACAGTTCAGCAAATTTGTATAAGATAATGTATGACGATACGCGTAAAGAACTTAAAAGCCGCATTCGATGTAGGTTTGTGGCCGTCCAAACAGAAACGGAGTGAGGGTTGTCAGCAATTTCAACTCGTTTCCTGCTCAATCTCTTCCCCCTCGGAGTCCTCTGCGTTATCTACATCGTCATCGTCTGGATCATTGTCGTAGTCTTCTTTATCGTTGTCGACAGCGGTTTCCCAATCACAGCCATGCTGCTTCTACTCTCTCTGATTTCATTGCACTGCAAAAATTACCTCAGATGAAGCCAACTTAAAGAAGAACAGAAAGATAAGTGCTAAAACACAGTAGTATAATGATATAATAACGTAACTGTAGTTTGAAGACACTTAGAAATACACACAGATCCGACAAACTGCAAAAATGTGCCTTCACTTATCGTCTCCAGGCGACTTAAGGTATACCAGTTGGGATTGCACCCGACTCTCGGAAGAACGAGGCTGTCCCCCATGAGACATTTGCTTGCCTTCCGGGCATCCTCCCACTTATTCCAAACCTTCGCTATCTTTAGATTTAAGCAAAAAAAGTTGTTACCGGAATCCCGAAACCATGAGGTCTCTCTCACTTCAAGGAAAAAAATCATTGAGCAGTGCCCGTTCTTCTAGCTGCTGGATTCTAATGCTGTGTTAGGATGCTGTCCTTTGTCCTTCCCCACAGGAGTGGCATGATTCGCCGCCACAAACATATAATGTTCAGAATCAAAACGGAGAATTACAGACTCCGAACGAGACATACATAGCAACGAGAATTTGAATCCAGTACACAGGCATTAAGGCTACCAAGTCTCAAAATAATCCAACTTTCTTAGTTTTCCATAACTTAACCTAGCTCTTACACCTACAGACAACAAATGTGACCAAAACAAACGTTTCGTAATCATCAGTAGAGCTCACACAGCTTATAGGATTAAAAACCGAAACGTTTCAAATTTTGGACCACCAAAAGAAGGAACTTTCGACAAGGTGCATCCAAGTAAACCAAACAAAATCCTTCGAAGCTTTACAAGCATATCTTACCCTACGAAGAATTTCCCACAAAAACTAGCACAAAAGAAAACAGAGGAAATAATTCGATCCTCCAAATCAAATGGTGATAAAAAAATAAAAAAATAAAAAAATATTTGTTACTTTGGTTACAATTTCACAAAATTAGGCTCCTTTTTTCTCAAAATTAGACTTCATTAGCCTTCAAAACTTCAAATCAGGGCTCCTTTTTGTCAAAATCTCCAGCCATTGGAGCATTTCCCTCTTTGTCATTTGGATTGAAATTTCACTTAGCTCGAAATCAGGGGCAATTCGTATATATGCATAAAGGAAAATAGACTAATTTGAGCTATTTGACTTAACGAATAGTTTCAAAGGAAGTGATAACTAAAGAATGGAGAAGTTTTAGGAGCCGGCTCGACGTTGTTTTACAGCAATCTAAACTGTCTATTTTTTTAAGTATTATAATTCTTGCAAAGAAAAATTCAATCTAAGCAATTTACCTATTTTATACAAAAAAGATCATTTGACGGTTTTGTCACGATAGTCTGGTGCCGGGAAGACTCATATTTTAGTCTCGTTCTGACCACCATCGCGTGTTTACCAGCGTTAGTAATTGAATTCAGAACATACCGTTTCGAATACGGATTTGAAATTCATCCCCAATTGTTGGACCAACATCCTCCAACGCCTCCCGGCAAGGGCAACAAAAATCAAATTTCCGGGAGCTGCCCATCTACCTAATCCATTGAAACTCCAATAACACATATTAACAATATCTTTAGTACATATCTTTAAACTTAGGGAGCAACTTATATGAAATGAGTCCACCGTCACATGATGTCCATTTTAATAATATATTATCATGTGAAGAAAAGCTTGCACTCGTCAATGTATTATTGGATACAAGACGCCACGAAGCAACAAACTCGTTTCATGTAAG